CCATGGGCTTGCGTGCTCTCTGCCACGTTCGATATACAGCTGCATACAATATAGCCAATCGAATACCACCCGACGGCTTGCCAAGCATCGGCATCTGGATCCAGGACAGCTGTTTGGGCAACATCCCGATGGCCTCCGAAGCCAGCAGCAGTAGCGCCAGCGCGTCGAGGCCGTCATCGTCCAGCAGCATCAGGTGCCTGGGGTGGAAGTTACCGTAGCTCGTGGCCGTCCCTGATGGGAAGGACTGCGCTGCCCGCCGTAGATCGTCAGGCTCCAGGCGCGGACACATATGTCGATCGGGTACCCATGGAGGCTGCGCAGCCTCAGATGCACGCCATAGGCGTTTGTACATCTCTACCTCTTGAGCCACGATGACCACAGGGCCGCCCGACTGAATGCCGATAGCGGCAGCTGGCGTTGAGATGACCTTGACCTTCGTGGTGCGGCGCAGCGGGCGCGCACCGCCGCATGAAGCCGTGCGGCGCCACTCGGCCCACGTCTCATTGGAATCCTTGGTCTCGCCCTTGGCAGCCAGGTCGACGTCATTAGCTATGTCGCCCACGAAGGCTTGAATCTGCTTTACGCCCATGCGTATGGAGTTGATCAGGGATCGTGCTTGAGCAACCGTTGCATCCAAACGTGGCGATCTCGTCGGAGCACATCATCATGGAATCATTTTTGCCGTACAGTGCGTGCATCGTAGTGGTGGCTTTCTGTAGCCACTGCCAACCGTGAGAAATACTTTGAACGTCGCTGCTGTCGTTGGTCGGGTAAGAAACATGGACCCACCGTGTCTCAAGGTTCCGAGCATAGGCTCCTGGCTCGCGCAGCGCCACACCCGTGTTCTGCGATATGTATTTGGCGAAGGCCACTGCGAACTTGCCACGCACGCGCGTGAGTAGCGCCCACGCTACAGCGACGTCTGTGATCGGGCCAGCTGCCATCCCGACGGCGCGTTCAGCTAGGGGGCTCCATGCAGCGACCAGTCCACTGGTTTTGTCAGAGGCCCTGGAGGTGGGACAGCTGGCAGCCGGGACGAGACTGAGTAGACATAGTGCTGCACTTCCATACCATTGTTCACTAACTGCAGCTGGACTGGGCGGTGCGCCTTCTTGTGCCAAGACATCGCAGAATGCACTCCGCGACACCCTCGGACCACAGCATCATTGAGGCGGAAAAATCAATTTTACTAGTGCCTGTTCCTCCTCTGAACGTAACCTGGCTGGGGTATGCTAGCACCATGTCAGCCTGCTGCGGAAAAAGGGACTGCTCCAAATCCATGGGCGACATGTTCTAGCCCCCTCCGACAAGAGCAGGCCCAGAGCACTGCGCCAACAAACGTCATGCAGTAGATAGTACATCAGCATTCATCCCAACCGCTCCAAGTGAGTTTTACATATACACATTGAATATCTAGATCGGAGGCCAACCGATGATGTCAACAATGACCTGCTGCAACCGCTGCTCCCATACAAGTGGTCCCCGCTCAGGATGACGTAGGCCAAGGGCATCTCGAACCAAGACAGCAGTGCCTCCTGACGGAACAATTCCTGCCGTACGACGTGCAGGCATGGCGGGGCATTTCCACTGACGGTTGTGCGCCCAGGAGTAGAGCGCCTCTAGACTGTCATCCGTATATCCAGTCTCCTGACACGTGAGAACCGCGGCTTTGTCTTTGGTCTTCATGAGTCTGCACTTCAGAGTCTCGCGAACACCTGATGCATTGAACGTTTCAATGAAGGAAGTGCCCTGTACCTCAGGCTGCGCAGGCTGGCGAACAACGCCAGCTCGAAACCGTGACCCCGACAACAGCGGCAGCCTGCTATCAGGAACACTTCCGTTGCTTGGTGGCGATCTCTCCAAGAAGCTTGCGAAACGCTTCTTCTCCTCCGTCCTTGGCGGCCTCGAAAAGCTGCTGGCGCTCTGCCTCCTCCAACTCATCCAAGGCTCGCTTGTGCTCACCGCCGCCATTTCCATCATCAACATCGACACCATCAGCAGAACCCTCAGCCGGAGGCATTGGCACATCCTCGGGGGCTGGCATCTTGCCCGCCAGGTGCTCGCGCAGCTTGGACCACGTGGCCGGTCCGAGGAAGGCGCGTACTTCTTCATCCTCGAACTCCTCAGGCTTGACATCGAAGGGGTTGGCCTCATCTTGCAGCGCTGCCTGCGCCGCACCGCTGAACTGTTGCGCTGCCTGGCTGACCTGCGCCTGGGGGGCCGTGATCTCCACCTTCTTGGCCGCCAGGGATGCGCGCTTAGCTGCAAGCGCCTCCTGCAACTCGTCGATATGCTTCTGCTTCTCGCCGGTGTCCGCTTCCAGCTTGGCAACGGCCGCCGTGACTTTCCGCGGGTCGGACGTGGCCCTGCGATGAACCACCGCTGGGGTCCGCATGGACTTCTGCTGGTCGCGTATGTCATCCATCTTACGCTGGATGCATCCTCGCAACTCGTCATGGTCCGTATCGCGCGGAAACGATTTGTAGCTGGCCTCGAAGCGCGCCAGCTGGGTAGCGAGCTTGGCCTTCTTGATGTCATCTGTGTCCGTGTCGTGGATCGTTGTGTCGTTCTGGGGCTCGACACCTGGCTTCCAGGGAGGTGGTTTGGAAGCCCCACCCTCCTTGTAGCCAGTCGGGGGAACTGGCTGCCTTGCCCCTCGCAGGAGTTTTTCGATCTCCGCCAGCCGCTTGCCGAGGTCTGCTGGCAGGGAGCCCGTGGAGGCCGAGGAATGCCCCTTGGCCTTGCCCTTGCCGCCGCCGCCAGCTGCGCCGCCAGAAGCATGTTCCTTCTCCCACCTCTGGTGATGCTCGATGGCAGTCTTGCGGGTGCGCGATGGGGCCTCGCGTCCGCGCGCACACCGCACACGGCACGCCCAGTTTGCGGTGGCCGCCCCGCGCGCCCCGCATGCCCAGGTGGGTCGCCTGGGGCCCCGCAAGACTTCGGGCAACTCGGGCGGCAGCGGTGTTATTGGCCGCCGCGAGGGGAAGCCGAAACAACTTGTGGGATCGTAGAATTTTTGGCTCGCAAGCACGAGCCGCACTGAATATACAGGAGGAGGAGGGGGAGGAGGAGGGGGAGGAGGAGGAGGAGGACGAGGAGGAGGAGGAGGAAAAGGATGAAGAGGAAGAGAAGGAGAGGCCACGAACCGTGTGAGGGATGCGCAAAAAAAGAAACTCCAATGCTCTGCCTGCTCGAAAACGCATGAAACTTCAACTCCCAATCGGTCCCCATGGCCTTGCCACGCGTCCTGACTCGGGAACGGCTGAGAAAGTGAGAATATCATGGCCCTGCCGCACGTTCGTGACTTAGGAAAACTGAAATGATGAGAACCCAATAGCCCTACCACACGCTCGTGATTGCGGAAGCTGAAATGATGAGACCACCATTGCCATGATCAGCGTTTTTGGTGCTGTTGCAAATCAGCATAAGATGATAGCAACTTCGATTCGAAACTCCCCCCCGGGATTATCAAGTTCGGCGGCCTCCGTGCACTCTCCACAATGAAATCCGATTGGCACGGGCTAAAAAATGGAAGGGGTTCAGGGGGGGAGTGATTTTTTATCGAGGGCACTGGGTTATGTGTGTACGCAAGCGCCGCTGCTCGGGAGACGATGTGCCAGGCTGGGTGTGCCAGGCCGGATGTGCCCACTGAGCTGCCACAAGGGCGAGGCCGAGAAATCTGTTTCCACTCCACTGCCTGGCCCAACAAGGGCGAGGACCAGAAATTTGTTTCCACCCCGCGGCCCCAGAGGTCTCGATCACGTTTTTGTTCCTCCCTGACACCCCGAAAACTGTCGGGGAGGCAACGAGCCATGTCGGCGTCGGTGCAACCTTCGTCCTCTGGAGCCGGATCAGCATTGGCATCGTCCTCGGGTATGGGCATCAGTATCGGCATCCTGGCGCCTGCGCAGCGCGGATCCCTCTGCCGAGCCGCCCCGCGCCCATCCTAAGCCCCGCGTGCCTCCTGGGCCTCCTCCCCGCGTCAATGATTCTCGGGACGTGTGCTAGCGCAAACGCGCACTTGACCACCGCAGCCCCTCCATACGAGAAATTCGCGTCGTGACGCCTTCGGCGCTGGCTTCGGACACCGCGCGGATCCTTCGACCTTGACCCGTCTTCCGTTTTCCGACCTCCAAATCCTTCCATATTGGGCGATCGTCGGTCATCTGCGGCGTTCAATGTGCGGTCTTCGCCTGGCCCGCGTCGGCACGACACGACCTTACCGTACGACGCCGGCTGGAGAGAGGGCCGGTGCGGGCTGCGCGCTATCCGTGGAACTGAGTGGGGTACGTCAGCACACACTGGGCGCACACACGGCCTGAGGGTCGTCAACCCTTGCGCGCCTCGATCCAGGCTCACGGCCGCCGCCGCCGCCGCGGGCGCCATCGTCGCCATGGTCGTCGCCTCTCGTCGTCCAGGGAAGCGCCGCGAGGGACCGACAGGCGCGGCGACGGCCCAAAGGCGGCTGGCGAGGCCCTCCAGACCCGGATGCGACGGGCGCTCACGGCGACGACAAAGCCTCGGTCGGGCAGGTCCCTCTACAGGCGGATTTTGGATGACAAATCAGACACATTTTTAAAAATGTCCAAAACTTACCAAAAATAGTTGAACACATCGCCCCCACACTGGTCTGGTCTGCGACGGCCCCGGGGCCCACAGCTAGGCGAAGACGCTCGGTGCGAGAAAATTACACTGCCTGGATCTCGGGGTCGTCGTCGTCGTCGTCGTCGTCGTCGTCGTCGTCGTCGTCGTCGTCGTCGTCGTCGTCGTCGTCGTCGTCGTCGTCGTCGTCGTCGTCGTCGTGTTCGTCGTCGTCGTCGTGTTCGTCGTCGTCGTCGTCGTGTTCGTCGTCGCTTTCGTCGTCGTTTTCGTCGTCGTTTTCGTCGTCGTCGTCGTCGTCGTCGTCGTTTTCGTCCTCGTCCTCGCCGTCGTCTGCAGGCCTCGAGGCCTCCCTAGCAAGACCAAGGAGGCGGAGCTGCCCGCCCTGGAGGGGGGGCGTCCTTCTTCGTGGTCTCGGCCGCGCGGCGCACGAGCTCCTCGAACAGCTCCGTCGGGATGGACACCATGCCTGGCAGGGCTGCACGGCTATGGATAGGCGCGTCCCGCTGCTCACAGAGCACCTCTACTCGCAAGTGGCCAGGATGCCCCGCGAATAACGGCATTAAACAAACTTTTCCGCCGTTAGGGACGCCTGCCCCCCGGGCGGCTGGAAAGTTTATACCCTCACGATGCCGCGCAGGGGCATAAACTTTCCAGTCGCCCGAAGGCAAGCGTCCCCGACGGCGGGGCATGTTATGTCATACCGTTCTTCGCCCCCGAATTCACGGTCCGTTACGTCGAAGCACATGAGCTTCTATGTCTGACGCTTGCGAGTAGGCGCTCTGCGAGTAACGGAACGAGCTCGGCGAATGCCTGGCAAAGCTGAACGACAAACGGGAGGCCCCATCGACCTGCCCCGGGAGATTCCACGGGCCCTCCAGACTCACACGGAAACATCCCCTGGTCTCGAATCGCTTTGCATTTCTATTCCCTCCTCTCCGACTCACTCTCGTTTGCGCAACTTTCCCGTGTGCATACTTCGAACAATTAATTGGCACCTTTGCGCCATTTAAATGCCCAGTTGCCTTTCTGACTTCTTCGCTTGCTGCGTAGAATCCCCCCAACGTATGGCGAGCAAGATCCCCGGTATGGTAGGAATTTCGATTGGACGATTGTGTGGCCAGGCCGTGGGACATACGATGCGGTAGGGATTTCGAATGGACGATTATGTGGCCAGGCCCTGGGCTATACGATGGGGGCGGCGCGTCCAGCCTCGACAGGGCTGCGTCCAGGTGGCCCCCAAAGGGGTGCGTCCCGAATTCCCTAGTCTCCGCCGAGCGCCATTTTTCCTTTTTTTTTTTGGTTGCCAGGGTGGTGCTGCTTGAGAAGGTGCACGAGCAGGTGCTTGTTGCGGAGGACTGAAGAGGATGAGGTGGTGGACGCCAAGGAGGATGGAGGTGGATGTCCTCCTCGCGGCCTCCGGGCGTGACCCGCGGTTCTCCGCAGGGACATTGCAGCGGGGAGTCCCCATTCCACGCTGCTGCCTCTGATCTTGGTTGGGTCTCTGGGATTTCGAGGGGCAGCAAACAGCGTAGCCATCATCTGTCGGAGGTCCGCCCTGCTTTCCCACATGGGCGCTGCACCCCCCCTTGGCGGCGCCCCTGGCCTGCTCCGCGCGCAAAAGGACCGGGGCTCGAAAGACCCCCCCGAAAACCTGCAAACGCGTATGCTTGTGAAGATTGCTCTCCTTCGGGGATCGGGAGCTCGCGCTGCATGGCCACTGCTGAAGGGGCCCAAAGACACGCAAATCAATGTATACACAAATAACGGGACTCCCCACAACTTACAATATTTTCTGGGCTTTCGTCTTCCCCCCCCCTTTCCGCATTTTCCTATATTTTCTGGGGAGGCGACGATGAAATGTTCAGGAGGGAAAGAAACACACAGACAAAATTAATCGTCGATTCCTAAGAAAATATTGGAAAATACGGGAAGTGGGGGGGGAGACAGAAACCCAGAAAACATGTGAAAAGATTGCGAATCTTTTTATTTGTGTATGTTATTTGTGTGTCCCAGGGCCCCTTCAATTGTGTCTGTGTTTTCTTTCCCCTCCTGAACTGCATCGCCACTGCACCGCCGACGCATCGGCGACGTCGGTCGCGCATCTGCGACGCCGGGGTCGAGAACGTCGGGCTCCACGTCGAGCCGCGCCGCCGACGCAGCGGCGCTGCGGCGCTGCCCTCCCACCCCGCCTGCTGGGACCAATGCCTGGAGGACTGCCTGCCTCAGCTCGCATGCCATGTTCGGGCGTTGGTAGAACTGGGTTTAGTGGAACCCAGAAGCCGATACCGCTACTCCGTGGACCTCTGCCAGTCTACGGTCTGACCAGAATTTCGACGCGAATCCAGCCGTGGCGACGAAGGAAGGGTAGCGGTATTGGTACATCTTTTTCTTCTGAGACACCCAGGCGTTGGCAGAACTGGGTTTAGTGGAACCTGGTGCAGTGATCTGTACCGGGGCGCCCCCCCGTCCCATTTCCACTAACCGGAACTGCCGTCACCCGAAAAAGCACAAACTGAGGCAAACCTGGTTTAGTGATTCTGGCCAATTCAAAAGCTCCAGGGCCCTACCACTAACCGGGTCCCCTTACCCGGGGTCCTGGCCATACCCGACATATGTTGCTCGATCCCTGTGATCTGACGCTGCCAAAGAAATACTGTATTTCCGGTCGTGATTGTTTTCGATGCTGGATTTCAAATACAGCATCGAAAATAATCACGACAGGAGTCGGATCCGTCTGTGTTAGTCCCAAAGCCTGAAACAGGACGAAAACGCCCGGTGTGAAAAGTGCAACTCCGGGATCACCGCAAGCCGATTGGAAAAGATAGGCTGCCCTTGAGAGTGACCCTTGTCAAGAGTGACCTTTTGGTGCGCGGCTTTGGGCGACCGCAGGGGAGAACAACTCCACGCAATCCAAGCGCGCCAGCCAACGCTGGCGGGACTCCTGATAGCCGGCACCACAGGTCACTCAGGCAAAAGGTCACTCTTACGCGTAGCCGATAAGATTGGCGGCGAGCGATGGGGGAAAGTGAGAAGGAGAAGGCCTTCTTAGAAGGCTCGAAAGTAAATCAGCCTTCTGAGAGATCAACCAAGCCTTCTCCGAAGACACAACGAGTCTTCTCGATGGGCTTGAGGGCTTCTGAGAAGCCCCGCCGCCTTCTGAAAGAGCCTCGTCCTTCTCTAGAGGCCTCCTAGATGGGGTCGTAAAAGATGGGGTCCGAGGATCGCGTCGCATCGCCGATACATCGGCGATGCATCGGCGATGTATCGGCGATGCACTGGCGATGCATCGTCGACGTCGGCGATGCATGGGCGGCGTCGAAATGAAGCAAGTCGGGCTCCACATCGAGCCGCATCGGCGATGCATCGGCGATGTGGCACGATCCTCCGACCCCAATTACTTCGCCCCCATCTACGAGGCCTAGATTCTCACTTCCCCCCTCGCTCGCCGCCGAAGATGGGGAGAGCAACAGATACCGATACCGATACTCCCCGGACCTCCCCCGGGGTGCGTTCTGACCAGAATTTCGAGGCGAATCCGGCGGTGGTGACGAGAGCCGCCCAGGAGGCCCACAAAGGGGAAAACGAGCGAAGGGTAGAGGTATGGGCTTAGTGGGCCCCTGAAACGGCAGGACCGTTTGTGCACCGTTTCCCAAAAAATGTCCCTTGGAGATGGAAACGGCAAAAAAACGGCGACTGGAAACAGCAACAAAAAACTGCTCCTGAATTGGAACCGGAGCCGGAATCGGTTAAAAAACGGCGACGGAACCCGTAAAAAAACGGCGTCGGAACCGACAAAAAAAACGGCAGAACGGAACCCGTAACAAAACGGCGCTGTCGTTCCCAGGGCCGACTAAGGGTATGGGTACCTCTTCCTCCTCCGAGAAAAAAGGCCATTCCGACGAAAAGGTCGCTCTGCCGCGTAGCCTGGCCATCGCTCGGACGTCCATTTCCCGTATTTGTTTCGGCTTCGTGCGTGGTTTTTTCGCCAAATGATCAAGGATGCTCCTCGATGGTCCTCGCCGACGGAAAAATCCACACGTCCGAGCGATGCCAAGTCTGCCGTGTAGCCGAGGAACCTAAGGGACCCTAAATAAGGAACGAGGCCCCTTTTTTCCATAAGTTAACCTTCGATTTCCCATGGAAGACCTCAGGAAAACCTGAGGCAAGCTGTGAAACAATCAAGGAATACGGAGCCCCTCCCCAACGAAAAGGGTTCCTTCTTCAGCGCCCCGACTGTACCTCTTCCTCCTCCGAGAAAAAGGGCCTTTCCGACGACAGGTCGCTCTGCCGCGCAGCCGAGCAGAGTCGCCAAGCCCCCTTGGTGGCCTCGCGCCCTGGACGGAGGCGCACCGGCTCCGCCGCCGTGCCCCCCCGCCCCCCCGCCGCGCCAGAGGTCCGCGGTCTGGCCCCGCCAGGCCTCCCTCGACATCGGCCTCTGTCTCAAGTCTACTCCTCGTTTCCTCTCCTATCCCTCCTCCTCCTCAGTTGCTCTCCTCCTCCTCCTCCGCCTCCTCCTCCTCACCTCCGCTCCTCCTCCGCCTGAGCGACGATCAGCACCGGGTCTTACTCGACATGGCACGGCGGCCTCACGTGGTGGCTTACGGGAGCCGCCGCCGCGGCACGCCACATTGAAGACGAGGGCGTTGACCCGCGACCTTGCGCGGGGACTTTACGCGCCAATGTCGGAGCAATTGGACTGCTTTTTCTCGTCGCCCACCTCCGCGACGGCAAAGGTCCGATCGCACGCCCGAAAGCGTCACGCTCCACCAGTGGGGACGGCGGCATTAGAAAACAGGCCTGCCATGACGATCACAGCGCTGGCGGCGAAGGTGAAACGCTTGCGTGCTTGGGGGGAGGGAAGAGGAGGGGAGGAACGCCAAAACGAGAGCGAGTCAAAGGCAGGGCGACGGAAATCAGTTCCGGCGGCGAGCCAGGGGGGGGGGAACTGAGAAGGGGCGGGCCTTCTCAGAGGGCTCGGACGCCCCCCGTTCTTCTGAGAAGTCCCGCCAGCCCTCTGGGCGCATGTGGTCTAGAGAGATTTCTCTTCCAACTTCCTTTTTCCCCGCCAGGGACGGGCTTGCCCCTCCCCCTACCCCCGCCCCTGGACCTGGACGGGGCGCCCCGCGAGGTGTCCGAGGGCACTTTTTCGCCCAAGACGGCTCCAAGAGCGCCTCAGATAGCCCCAAATTGCATCCAAAATGGCTCAAGATAGCCCGGGCGGGCTCGATGCGGTTTCCAAGATGCTCCACGCGGCCCCCAAACCGATCCAAGACGGCTCCAAACTGCCACGGGCCCTTCCACGGAGGCCCAGGAGAGGCCAACATCATACAACACCTACATCTATGAGTGCTGCCTTCTCGCCTTTTTGGTGTCGATGGCCGTCCGAAGCCTCAAGATGGCTCGAAAGAGCCCAAGAGGGCCCCAAAAGAGGCCCAAGAGAGCCCAAAGACGGCCCACAGAGCGCCCAAGAGCGGCCCAAAAACGATCCAAGAGGGGCCCAAAAGGCGATGATGGGGGCTTCCGACGGGGGAGGCTAACTAAGGACCCCCTTGTTTGCTCGAGCTCTTTCAAGATGGCTCCAAAAGGATCCTGGGGACCCCAAGACAGCTACAATAGGCTCCCGAGGGGCTCGGATAAAGATGTGATATCTTGACATCTGTTGCTCGGTGCACGGGCGGCTGTTTGGCTGGTCGAGCCGACGCGAATATGTTCGCATAGTCTAGAAGCTTGCTGCAGAATCTGCTACGCATTAATTAGCAGCGTTTCTTTTCCCTCTGTGAAAATCAGATAGGCAGGGATGTGAGATACAATATGATAATGAGAAGTATCTGTGCTGCTGCTGCTCTCGCTCGCTCGCGCTGCGTGCAGCATCCCTCTCGCCCGCACCCCTTGTGGCTCATAAGCTGGGCAGGAAGGTGGACGCTCCTACTCACGTTTTGCCTGAATACGGAATACAAGATATCATTTCTTCTCACGTTGTGCTTGCATCAGGTGCTGGTGGGAGTGTTTTTTTTATCACTATTTACACCAGGGCGGCATGTGCCGCGATCGTGGGCCAACAGTTGGCCTGCGGGGGATCGGCGTTCGGTCAACCCCTCGGTCGGACATCACAGGGAGGCAATGGATGTGGGGGCAGCCGGTCAAGGAAACATCTTCTGGCAAGTCTACCTAAGAACGATTAACATGTATTGCGCCCGATGAGACGAGGCCAGACTAAGCGGGGTTACCTCTGAATTGAGACGCAACCGCATTAAGCGGCTACAAATGGGACCATGCCAGACTAGGCTGGTTTTCGACCGCGGAGATGCCAGCGCCAATGCTAAATCCACCATCCCAGGAGTCACATCCTTAAAAACGTGGGGGCCAGTCTGATGAAAGAACAACACATGCTCAAACCTATGCTGAGGAAAAAAAGGGAAGGCAATCCGATGTCGGCTCAATAAGTATGGGCGCGACTTGTCGAACCCCGAGCAGGGTTTCCGTCTCGAGCGGGGACCTGATATACAACGCACGCAGTGGGGCCTTCGGTGGAGTTCCCTTTGGGGCCACGGACCGCGAGAGTGGTGTGTCGGAATGGGTTGCCATGCGGAATGCAAATGCAAGGATGGGAGGAAGGAGCAGGGGGAAAAGAGGAGAAGGCGCGGGGCGCTGTTCTTTGGCGCTTTGAGAATTATCCATGCGAAGAACAAAGGTGGAGCTCCCTATGGGGCCGCGAATCGTGTGTTTCGTGTGCCCAAATGTGCGGAGGACCGCATGAGCGCCGTGCCACCAGGCGCTCGGTGGAGCTCTTTATGGGGCCACGAAGAATGTAAGGGGTGTGCCGAAATGGACGGCGAACCTCGCGTGGGCCCTGCCAGCGGGGCTTCCGGTGAAGGTCCATAAGAAGCCAAGAAACGTCCGAAGGGAGTGCCAACATGGGCGGGGAACTTCATGTGAACCCTGCCCCTGGGGCCTGCGGGGGGGCTCCCCATGGGGCCACGAATCGTAAGAGGGGTGTGCCACAAGGGGTGGGGAACCGCATGTGGACCCTGCCGCTGGAAACTTCCGTGGAGCTCCCTATGTGGCAACGAGGCGCGTGAGGGGTGTGACGAACAAGTGGACATGCGGAGGGCAGAGGGAAGATGATGGGAGGAGGGAAGAGGGGAAGGAGGAGCGGAGGAAAGAGGAAGCAAATGCAGGGATGTTTTTTCAACACGTGAAGCCAACACCACAGGATGGTAAGGAACCAGAAACACAAATGACAACGCCTTGCCTCCTGCAAGCAAAACAAATGTCTTGAATCGGTGCTCGCCCCCCTCTGCCTGGGGCGCGGTGGGCGCTATGGTCGGCTCCGGGGGCGCCGTCGCGCAGGGGGTGGGCAGCCCCGATCCAACGAATACGCGCGGACCTCTGCCAGGTGATGCTTAAGCGCAGCCAGCGCTGACGACGCTGATGGCGACGCCGACGCCACCGACGACGGCGGCAACCGCGGCGGCAGCCGCAGCGGCGCGGCCGCGCCTTCGGCGCCGGCGTCGGCGAGGCCGCCGCCGTGCGACCCGTTGTGGTTCAGGGAGCACGGGCTGAACGACGGGTGCGGCGACGGGGCGGGGCCTCGCAAAGGGAGGCGGCGCAGCGCCATCCTGGTGTTCCCCCTCCTCCTCCTCCTCCTCCTCCTCCTCCTCCTCCTCCTCCTCCTCCTCCTCCTCCTCCTCCTCTTTCTCCTGTTCCTCCTCCTCCTCCTCCTGTTCCTCCTCCTGCTCCTCCTCACTTTTCGTTCCCCCCCACCGCTCTCCTTCCCGTAAGCTTCTCCCCAACTGCTCTCCTACTATAGACCAGTGACAATTTCGTGCCTGTGCATCTCGGAATGCATGGGATGTAAGAGATGATGGTTCCCTCTGGTCGGGCACATCGGACGAGCCGAGATGCCTCGACTATAACCTTGACAATGCGCCGTTTGGGCAGATACGGCTGCGCATCGCGAGCGCCGCAACTACCTCAAATATCCCCTCGGAGGTTTACTCACAGTCGGAAATGGGGGGAGACAAAGTCGTTCAGAAACGATCGCGGCCAAGTCTGTCCAAAACAATATGAGCCGCAAGGCTGCCAAATTTCTAAGCGTTTGCAACCATCTCTGGAGGCTCAAGAGGACACTGAGGGACCGGTCGCCCTTGACTGGTCGCGGTGACCAGTGATGCCACCGAATTGCATGTAGCCATGCACTGACAGCGGCGCGCGCGTAGGCACTGGGCATCACGATACCGCCTGCTCTAGGAAACCCGCTTCCGAGCCTGGTAACGTGTAGCATTACTGCGTTGTGCAAGTGAACGGCGAAGCGACCTTTCGTTCGCAAGAAAATGATTGCGGGCACGGGGCCGCGCACTCGCGCGTCGCCAGTTTGAGCTGGTCGTAGCCACCCACACATATAGGGCAAAGCCTCGCACTTGGTTGGCTACGAGGTCTTATCCTCCAGCCGATACGAGACGCGAGGGACTACTTCGACATTTCAAACTCCGCCGACCTGGCATCGCTCGACTTATCACTGAAACTGCTTCATTTAGTATGTTCGTCGGCTGCTTGATCAAATCGATCACACCATTCTACGTTACGCATAATACCCGAAACAATCGACTGTCGCACGCCCGGTAGGTTTCTTGACTTACATGCAAATTCAGACTTCGTTGCCCAGGATACCTTCTATCCGTAGACCTGTAAGTTTTTGCCAGCTGCGTCAGCTCACGGGGACTTCGCGGCGTGAATTTCAATTCGCGGCGCGTGAGAATAACGTTGCAAGGCAGCTGCGTGCGCAGAGGGGGCGCAGAGGACGGAGGGTGGGGCGACTGGAACTTGAATGGGTGCGGTGGCTAGAACAGCCTCGATGGGGCCGCTGAGGCCAGGCCCCTGGGGCGAGGGGGACAGGGCGACGAGGTAAAGAAAAGTCAGTGGAGGCGGGCCCGGGCCGCGCGAAACCACAAGCCGACTCGCCGCTGCAGGGGGCGACGGGCCACCCGACATTCCTGCGATTCCTGCGATCCGAACAATCATATGGCCACTGTGCCGTCATCGCGCGAATGCCCATGGCAAAACGTCCTGCGCGCCCCCGCGCGCCGACGACGTCGAGGGCGCGCCGCCGCCGCCCGCGCGGCCGCCGCCGCCGCTACTTGCGAGTGCGCCAGAAGAACGCCCCACAGACTGCTGCCGACGACGCGGACCTCCCTGCCCCTCGCCCCCCCCCCCTCGCCCCCCCCCCCTCCGATCGCGCCCCCTTCCCGCCCCTCGCGCGCTCTTCGTCCTGCCCGCCGTCCTCTGAAATTAACCTCCTCGTTCCCCCCTGGCCGTCTGCGCCGCGACCCCCCGCGGCGACCCCGATCCACGGCGCCGCTCGCGCCCGGCCCAGCCCGCGCCGATAGCGCCGGCGCCTCGGGCAACAAGCTCGAGGGCACCCAAAATTGCTGCTAGATGGACACCGCGACCCAGGGCGGCGAAAGATACCCCCCAAGCTCCGCGCCAGACGCTGGCACAATCGCCGCGGGGACTCGATCGGCGCCCGAGGCGACCCATTCGAACTGCACAGAAAACGCAAATGCAAAATGGGCCCCGCATTCCAATCCCCGGGGGGATTCGGTGCGACTGTTTGAAATAAGTAAGCATTGGGCAGCCGAAATAAGCGAGGCGCCCACCGACTCGGCGCGCGCATTCTTTGCACATTGCCTGATATACGTTGTTGCACATGCTCTGCACAAAGAAAAACAAAAGCTGGAAAAAAGCGCAGAAACAAATGCGGCCGGGGAGGCGTTGTTTTTTTTTGTGTTTTGGTTTCCAAACTACGCAACGTAATACGCGAAACATGGGCGCACCCCGACTGGTGAAAACGCAAGAACAAGAACAATAAGCGCGAAATGACTTGTTCCCCAGGGCAGCCGGCGAGTGCGAAGTGGGATGGCGCGACGCCGCTGGGAGGCCCGCGACGGAATGCGGCTGCCTCGTGGGGCTTTGCCCCCCCCCTGCCCCATGCGCCCGTGGGATGAGAGCCCGGAGGAGTCGGCTTGCGGGGGGGGTCGGGCGCGCGGGAGGCGGGCAGAAGCGTCGCCGGCGCCCCGCGCCCCCGGGGGGCTCCATGTAAGATTTCCCAGGCTGCGCCGAGCGCGCGCACGCGTTACTTGCCCGCGCGCTCGCATTCGCGCAAGCGCATCCTAAGAAACTATGATTTGGATCGGAACCGGGCGACAACGGGCATGGGGCGCCTGTCAAGGCTGCTTCTGGGAGCGATTGCTGCTGGCTCGACACGCGCGATATGCATGTAACGACTTTTGGAGGACGGGCGCTGCGCCGTCCAATCCAACGCGGGAATGGCGCGGTCCGGGGCGCGCGGCCGTCGCGGCACACGGCGGTCGACGTGACCGCGTGGGGCGCGCGATCGGCCGCGCGGCATTTGCGGGCCATTCGGCCGACGCTGCCGGGTCGCCCTCAAACAGCCCGCCAGGAATACGCAAATGCGCAATGCGCCAGCGCGCCGCCAGGATATCGCCTTGAAAACAACCTGTTCACCCTGAACGCCGACTGCGCGCCTCGCTGAACCAGCGAAGTCGCGCGGCGCGCCCGCGCCGCGGACCCGCCGCAATGAACTCGCGGGAAAAAAGCCTCTCTCCATGGGTTCTGAGACCGATTCTGGCCTACTTCCCCGTTCTGGCCGATTCTGGTTCCATCGCCGATTCCTCCTTTGATTCCGTATTGATTCCGTACTGATTCTTTTGATTCCGCTAGAATCAGGGGTCGCAGTTGTGCCGATTCTGTTTTGATTCTGCACTGATTCCGTACTGATTCCTTTGATTCCCCTGTGCCCCGGGGGCCGTCGGGCCGCGGCCCGAGCTCCCGCCTCGGCGGCATGGTTTTTCCAGGAGCGCGGAAGAGTTTTGAAGGGGAGGGGGGCGGGGGGGGGGCGGGGCGATTTTTGGGGCGCATGGGCGGCCGAACCGCAGATTTCCGGGCCCAGTGCGCACGCCCAACATCGCAGGCGCGGGCGCGCGAGCGAGTTCTCGACCGTCGGCGCATCTGTAAGTTCATGCCCCGCCTCGCGCGCGGGAATGGAAACTTGGTCTGCGGCTTCCCATTGAACGCGCGGCCGTCGCCCCCCATGCTACTCAGCGCGCAAAGCGCGCGAGCAGCATGGGGGGCTTTGCGTTGTCGCATATGAGAAGTGCGCGGAACCGAACCGAACGGTCGGCGGCGCCCGCTCCTGCGCCGCGCGCGAGGCCATCGCGTCAGCGCGGGAGGCTACAAGGGCCTGGGCCGCCGCCCTGGGGCGCGGGCACAGCGCGAGGCCCGCGCGGGTCTCTCGCGCCGAACATGCGCAACAAGGTCGGCCCGCCCGCCAGCAGGCGCTCGCGGGCGACGCGACGCCGGCGCCGACTGCGAGGCCGACTGGGCCCAGAGGATTCCTGAGAGTCCCGGGAAGGGGCAGCGGGCCGCGATGGAATCGGCGCGGTCGTTGGCGCCCCCCCCGCGCCCGGCCCCCCCTGCAAGCCGACTCCTCCTAAGCCCGGCCGCCCCCCGGCGCCAGGCGGGCGGGGGGGCGGGCGGGGGCGCGGCGCCAGGCGAGGGGCGCGGCCGCGCGGCTCAGCACATGACGTCTGCGCCGCGCCACCCCCCGTTGCAATGCGCCCAAGAAAGTGTCGCCGACATGGGGCGGTGCCTCAAGGGCGATGACCCTGCGAAAAAATGCCGCGGCCCAGAGGGCCCCAGCCGTCGCCCCTGATGGGTGGCCCGCCGAAGCCCCCAACGGCGGCGACCGCGCGCGGTGCTCGCAGGCCCCTCAAGCATCTGCCCAACCGAAAGCCGCAGTTGCAAATGCTGCGCGCCCGACCTGCACGCCCCATCGCGCGCATCGTGGCCCCACAGGCGACTCCGTCGAGGCCGCGGTAGCAGCGGCCGCGCGCGGCGCCTGCGCTCCCCGGGATCCATCAAAGGCCCCGGCGGCATCAGCCGCGAGCGACGCTTGCGCACCCCTCGCGCGTTCGATGGTCCGAGCACGCGCGCGCCGCGGCCCGGCGGGGGCCTGCGCCGAAAGCCCCGGAGGGAGCGGCCGCGCGCAGAGCCTGCAGAACCCTCGCGCAGATCGCGGCTCGGCGGGGGCCCCCGCCGAAGGCCCTTGCGGCAGCGGCTGGGCGCGGCATATTTGCGGCACCGTCGCGCGTTTCCTGGCCCCGCAAGAATCCCAGCTGAAATGTCCGACCCCGCCGGCACCGCTCGCGCGGCGGCCCTGGCCCACGTCGGCGCGCACCTGTCGCGCGCCCCCTGGCCACAGAAGAAATTCCACCAGAAACTGTGATCAGAACTGCAGATGGGCGGGCCCTTCGCCAATGATGCGCTGGGCGCGCGCGGGCGACGCCGGGCCCCGCGCCGCGCCCATTCACGGCGCGCCCCCGCGGCGAGAGACCCCAAAACCGAACCATGGAAGCCGGCCCCGCGCGCCGTTGCAGGACGCATGATCGCCCTGAACAGCCATGACAATCGGCTTTGCCAGTAAGGTACTCGCTGCGCGCGGCAAACACCGCTCGCGCTTGAGCGCTAACGCATTATAGCATAATGTCATGTGACTTGCGCGTGTCGAACAT